GTTGGATGATAAGACCGGAGTAGGCAAATGCGCTTACTTACTCATGACATTACGCATTTTGGATATTTGTAGCGCATGCGTACCTGCGTACCACTTATGTGCACCCCTGGTTATTGTTTCTCTTTCACTGGGGTTACTACCTTTCTTTTTATTTAATTTCAAACATGCACAAGATAAACCAACAATTATTCACAGAAAAATAGAACGCAAGGCAAGTCTATTTGTATAGCGCATTTCATGCACAAGGCAACTCAAGTGCTTAACAAAACAAGGCATACAATCGTTAATAATCTCATCACATTAAAAAGTGACGATACAATCCCTCAGTTGTATGCACAACTAAACAGAACTGTTGTTAAAGTTCAAAACTTATTTATTATTTGAATGAAAAAGAATTTTCCATCCAAGTATTTTCTTTCTACCAAGAATTTGTCAGTGTTTGTCCTGTATCTTTTCATGAATTTTGTAAGGTTCGGCCAATTCATGTGGGAAGTATATTCCAAACATGCCTCTGCTCCATCTCGATGAGATTTTTGTTATAGCTTGCCAACTCTAAGCATTATATTTTACAGTTTTGAAGGGAAGCATGGTGGAGAATAGCAAGATTCTCCACATGGTGTCCTACCACAATTACGCTGACGACACTCAGATATATGTTTCACTGACTCCAGGAGAACATGGACCACTGGATTTGCTCCTTCACTGTATCCAACAGATCAGTGACTGGATGCAAAATAATTTCCTCCAGCTAAATGCAGACAAAACCGAAATCATTGTCTTTGGTCCCCAGAAACAAAGAGGGGGCGTCATTTGTCAACTTCAGTCTCTCTCCCTACTGCCTTCAGACAAGGTGAGAAATGTAGGGGTAATACTGGACTCAGACCTAAATTTCAATAGCCACATAAAATCAATCCCATGAACAGCTTTTTACCATCTGAAGAACATTGCCAAAGTTAGAAATATAGTGTCCAAAGCAGACTTGGAGATTGTTATCCATGCATTTGTCTCCAGTAGGTTAGACTACTGCAATGGCCTGCTCACAGGTCTGTCCAAACAGGCTGTAAAACAGCTGCAGTACATCCAAAATGCAGCGGCTCGAGTCCTGACTAGAACCAGGAAATACGACCATATTAGTCCGGTCCTCAGGTCTCTGCACTGGCTTCCTGTGGCTCAGAGAATAGACTTTAAAACAGCTCTGCTTGTGTACAAGTCTCTCCATGGCCTTGCACCAAAATACATTAGTGACATGTTGGTGCCATATGAACCGGCTCGGACTCTGAGGAGCACAGGGACTGGCTCATATTTGTGAGTCACCCTTTCTTCTAGACTTTGCATTTTATAAGATGTAACAGACAAGGGTTATCTAAATACATGTAATATTAATGCATTGGTTTTATATAGCAGGCACTCGAAGTCATGCTGAAAAGCTACTAATGTAGCCAGAATTAATAAACAAAAACATGAATACCTGTTAATAGTTTGAAAAGACGATTTTATATATAAGCAAAAGCTTGTATATTAGTCCAATCTCCTTCCAGCCATTCAGACACACAATACAAGAAGCAATACTCTACACAATATGTTAATGAAACAAGGTACACACAGGTACTTACATTGTTACACAATACAAATATCATTTAACAAAGACATTGAAAAAATAGAATCTCAACAGCTACTATACCAAAAACACATAATGGTTGTTCTGGATATAGATCGATAGATATGTTTATACACTGTTGGTAAAGACCCAAAAAACTCTGCTTTGACACATGGAGTAGATATTGTTTCAATCAGAGTTGTCCTCAATCCATGGAAATGTACAGTACACCAGGAATACAATACTTTGTAGTTCACCAACAGCAAGTGAAAATATAGTGCAGTCTGCTGTTGATGCAGCTGCAAGGTCATTGTGCAGAGGTGACTGTGAGGTGGCCTATAGCAGGACTGTGTTTGGACAATCTCTTTTCACTGTTACAGGCTGTCACATTTGGAACAGTATCCCAGACACTATACAAAAACTCCCTGTATATAACACTTAAAAAAACTGAAAATCTCAATCAATAACATGACGGCCCATTGACCCGTCAATCCACCCAAACCAAACCACCCAATAGACCCTTCCCGACCCACTCTAGTCCCACGTATACTAGATATAATTTATATATTTGATCAGGTGTGTGTGAAAAAATTTAAATATATCCGATTACAGCTACAATGCTTTTGCTGATCACTCCCGAGGCAGGTACAGGAACAAGCACAAAAGGCATACACTATGATACAGCAAATTATTATAGAAAAGATTAGTACAATAGGCACAATGTTGAAAAGGAAGAGTCAAGTAATGGTGGTAATTAAATAGAGATAGATAGATAGATACTTTATTGATCCCCGTAGGAGAAATTCAGGTGTCCAGTAGCAGCAAAAATAAAAATAAAATTGATCATTCTGAAAACATAATAATAGTAATAATCAGCAACTGCTCACAGCAGCAGAGGTCGCAGGACGATTCACAGCCACACAGATGGAGTAGCCTCTGGGTGGAGCAGGACGGGTTGCAGCAGCAGAGGTCGAGTAGCCTCTGGGTGGATCAGGACGGGTCACAGCAGCACAGATGGAGTAGCCTCTGGGTGGAGCAGGACGGGTCACAGCAGCAGAGGTGGAGTAGCCTCTGGGTGGAGCAGGACAGGTCCAAAGGTGGAGTACCCGCTTGATTCGGACCATTTTCTCTGCTCTAGTAAAATGCTAAATGCTTCATTTGCATTTTTCAAAAAGTCAGCATTCCTTCAGTCGATTTTCACCTGATCCGTTTGGTTTGGACCATGAATCCTCTCCTCTCCAATCTGGACCAGTGCAAAACCATGAACACTGTACTGCAACATCTCAGGCAGAAAAAAGCAAGAAAAATAAAAACTGATTAAACACAAAACAATAACTGTTTTAGAGCTGCTTAGGACTGCAGCCGTTTCCAGGCGTATCTTTCCTGGTTGGATGACTGGTTGGATTGCAGGCAATGCTTTTTTAAATGAATGAATGTTCATTTTTGGCCAGTTGTTTGATTAATAACATTTCACATTCACTGACTCTATTACAACCAAAAATAGGATTGGGCTGACGTAACTTGCTTATGTGAGCCAAACCTTTTTTTCAATGCTTTTTCAATGTTTTTTTTCAACAAATTCAAAATCGAAGTATTCAATATAATGCTATACTCTTGTTTTGTGAACTATACAAAGCCATAGAACCATCCCGTCGCTCCAATCAATTTCTTTGCAACAAAACATGGAAGTTTACGGTATACTTTTCCAGAACTTATGGTGGCCAAGGCAACTGATTCATTGTTCATTTGCTGTGTTCTAAACCCCCTAAAACTGGAAACAGAATTAGAGGCGTAATATGCAGCGTTTCTATAACGGGTTGATCTTGTCTGTCAATTTGTGAATTGTGGAGCTCACACGTCCTCCTAGATTACATATATCTTTCTAAAGGCTTGGAATAGCATGAAGCCAGGCAAAACCAGAGCTTGCCCTTTTCATGTATTTCATGTATTCAAACACGGGCTAGGTTTGTCACATTCCCATATCATGGAGTTTACAGCAATGACATGCTTGAGCTAAGTGTCTACTTCTTGTACTTAGCTGGCCTTACCATCATCCCGGCCGAGCTCGGGATAAATGTTCTAATGCATTTATATTGGCCTACATCCCCAAAATGACAGCACACCGTGTCCTCTTTCCACCGGCCCCCATCCCTTAAGGAGACGTTGTACTTGTTGATGATTAAAATAAGGTAAATGTCACTGCTCTACATTTGGCAGCGGAGTGGCTTGTGGGTAATTTATCAAAGCCGAAAGCGTGCGGGCCGGTGGTTGTACCCCTTCCAGCCTACTAAGTAGCTGTACTGTTCCTGTCACACGTCCTTCACGCATCGTGGCCATTTGCGAGTCTTTTCCAACCAGTTTGTAAAATGCAAATAAACAGTAAACATTATGTCAAGATAGGCAACACTACAACGGAGCGTGAATAGCACTGGCGCAGGTAGGACGCAGTAATAAATCCACAGTTGGCTGGTTCTTTGTAGAGAGCGTGCACTTGCGTGAGAGAGGGAAATGAACCGTAGATAAGTGTCCTGTAACAGTGAGTCTGCTTACTCACACACGGAGCTCGGAGGCAGTTCTTTCAGTTTTTTTGTTTTCCAAAATGGTTAAAGATAGTTTAGATAGATAGATAGATACTTTATTGATCCCTGTAGGAGAAATTCAGGTGTCCAGTATCAGCAAAAATAAAATGAAAACATTTTCATTCAAAAAAGCTAACAGTAGTAATAATAAGCAACAGCACTTCAAGTCACAGCAGCAGAGATGGATTAGCCACTGGGTGGAGCAGGTCGGGTCACAGCCACAGTTTAAGTAAACATTTTCGCATTAGTATACTGTAGCATACATAGTTCAGTATTTTGCATTTTCTCACGTTAACCTTTCTTAATTCTTGTCTTAGATGTGTAGTATGAATACAAACTTAACCATGAGATAGTATTTCAACAAGTAAAGACTCACTGTATCCGTGTTAGAGAAGAGATAAGTTGTGATTGACCTTGGCTGGACATACACACTGGATAAACTGTGTAGTCGGACTCTGACATGTTTACAGTGCAGTACAGTACAAGCAATTACTATGTTAAACTGAAAAATTTTGAGAGCTATTCAAGTTTGGAGTTATATATTCCCAACATGTTGCTGCTATATTTGAGCATAATAATAATCTCTCCTTAATCATTCACCTGCAATAGCAATAGTCACCAACAAGCATTTTGGCACTCATGACATATTGTTAAGTTATAAATGCGTACATTATCTGACTAGTTTCTGTTATGGTGTAATTTTAGTAATATGATAATAGTAATGAAAAAAATAGTAATTTTGATAATAAGCATAGTACTAAAAATAGTGCAGTGTTGATAATCATATAAGTGACTATTGACCCCCATTATGTTTCTGTTCTCAGAGACAAGACCCAGTTGCTTGGGACCAGTTCTTCGCCAACGCCTCCAGAGACGCACTGAACATCCGCTACACCCTGCTGCCTTACCTCTACACCCTGATGTTCCTGGCCCACACCGAGGGGAGCACAGTAGTTCGGCCCCTGCTCCACGAGTACGTCTCCATGCCGACATCGCACTTAGCTTACCATAATCGAATCACTTTCATAGGGCATTGCCTCTCATTACGATGCGGACTCGCACGTGAGCTGGAAGCCGGACCAAAAAAAGCAATTTTGCCCTGGAGCTTTCATTGGAGTGCATCATTTTTAGCATCGCTCTGTTTTAATGCTTGGCTAATTTACCATCAAAGCTGCTTTTATTAGCGACAGATGTTCAGCAAAACGGAAAAGAGTAACGGCTTTATTTACATCTGCGCACATTTCCCCCTGACCGACGGCAGTCCCGTTTTCTGGTCGAATTCTTCACTGAGGAGAGTTAATAAAAGGCGTGTGAAATATTTATACGTGGATTAATTTATTCAAGAGACTTTAAGAAGGCTACAGATGGTATTTAAGGAACTGGCAGAGGCGAGAATAGCACAGATATTTGGCTTGGATCTTAAGAGCGTTTAATTCTGAATAAGTGTGCGACCAGTCTGTTAGGCTGAAGACATAGGAGGCTGTGGTGATATGTTATAATATTAAAGCTGGTGTACCTAACTTTCAAACTAAACTCAGCAATACACTCCATTAAACTTGTTTATTGCTCTCAAACCGGTTCTTTATAGTTTGCGCATGCATGTATTTTGACCTCCGTCAGATATGTAGATCATCATTTTCAGATATAAAAATGGTGTTCCCCCTAACTCAGCCAATCAGCTCGCGATTGGTGAGAGTCAAACAGTGACTAATGGAAAAACATTTCTAATAAGATGAAGACGGCATGTTGTGGTCTGATCAGTTCACAATTTCATCAAAAAAGTAAGACAAAAAATGAAATGTAGGAACTCCGTGTACAGTATTCGGCCCCCTTGAACCTTTCAACATTTCGCCACATTTCAGGCTTCAAACATAAAGATATAACATTTTAATTTTTTGCCATGAATCAACAACAAGTGGGACACAATCGTGAAGTGGAACGAAATTTATTGGATAATTTAATCTTTTTTAACAAATAAAAAACTGAAAAGTGGGGCGTGCAATATTATTCGGCCCCTTTACTTTCAGTGCAGCAAACGCACTCCAGAAGTTCAGTGAGGATCTTTGAATGATCCAATGTTGTCCTAAATGACTGATGATGATAAATAGAATGCACCTGTGTGTAATCAAGTCTCCGTATAAATGCACCTGCTCTTTGATTGTCTCAGGGTTCTGTTTAAAGCGCAGAGAGAACCATGAAGACAAAGGAACACACCAGGCAGGTCCAAGATACTGTTGTGGAGAAGTTTAAAGCTGGATTTGGATAAGAAAAAATTTCCCAAGCTTTAAACATCTCAAGGAGCATTGTGCAAGCAATTATATTGAAATGGAAGGAGTATCAGACCACTGCAAATCTACCCGGCCGTCCCTCCAAACTTTCATCTCAAACAAGGAGAAGACTGATCAGAGATGCAGCCAAGAGGCCCATGATCACTCTGGATGAACTGCAGATAACTACAGCTGAGGTGGGAGAGTCTGTCCATAGGACAACAATCAGTCGTGCACTGCACAAATCTGGCCTTTATGGAAGAGTGGCAAGAAGAAAGCCATTTCTCAAAGATATCCATAAAAAGTCTTGTTTAAAGTTTGCCACAAGCCACCTGGGAGACACACCAAACATGTGGAAGAAGGTTCTCTGAAACCAAAATCAAACTTTTTGGCCACAATGCAAAACGATATGTTTGGCGTAAAAGCAACACAGCTCATCACCCTGAACACACCATCCCCACTGTCAAACATGGTGGTGGCAGCATCATGGTTTGGGCCTGCTTTTCTTCAGCAGGGACAGGGAAGATGGCTAAAATTGATGGGAAGATGGATGGAGCCAAATACAGGACCATTCTGGAAGAAAACCGGTTGGAGTCTGCAAAAGACCTGAGACTGGGACGGAGATTTATCTTCCAACAGGACAATGATCCTAAACATAAAGTCAGATCTACAATGGAATGGTTCACAAATAGACGTATCCAGGTGTTAGAATGGCCAAGTCAAAGACCAGACCTGAATCCAATCGAGAATCTGTGGAAAGAGCTGAAGACTGCTGTTCACAAACGCTCTCCATCCAACCTCACTGAGCTCGAGCTGTTTTACAAGGAAGAATGGGAAAGAATTCCAGTCTCTCGATGTGCAAAACTGATAGAGACATACCCCAAGCGACTTGCAGCTGTAATTGCAGCTAAAGGTGGCGCTACAAAGTATTAGCGCAAGGGGGCCGAATAATATTGCACGCCCCACTTTTTAGTTGTTTATTTGTTAAAAAAGTTTAAATTATCCAATAAATTTTGTTCCACTTCACGATTGTGTCCCACTTGTTGTTGATTCATGGCAAAAAAATAATTTTTTATATCTTTATGTTTGAAGCCTGAAATGTAACAAAATGTTGAAAGGTTCAAGGGGGCCGAATACTTTTGCAAGGCACTGTATATTTTTTTATGTTTCTTCAAAATACATACATCAACAGTTATACACAGTTTGAAAAGGAGGTGGACAAAGCAAGAAGTTAGGGCTGTGAGCCTCTCTTCCCTTTTTGAAATTTGTTTCTGTTCCATCGAGTAACTCCTTGACTACTTGCACGGTGGACACATACAGACTTCCTCTCAGTCTGTAACTATGTTAGGCATCTCTATTATGGGGTCTTTTTGACACTAGGTGCAGAGAGTTTACAGATGCCCTCCTGCAGCTTAAGTTCAGTTCTCCTGGAAATGGGTGCAGTCTGGTGTGATCCTGCTTGGTCTGATAAAAAATAAAAAAAAACCTGCAGCCACAGGCAACCACTCTGGAAACCCCTGTGCCACTTTCAATCAATAATTTACAAACTATACAAATCAACAATACAGTAAGAGAAGAGCTTTGATGTTCAGTAAATCACTTGCTCTTTCAATCGTTCCAACAAAAGCCATATTTGTCCTCCGATCACTTGAAAACACCCCAATTATATTATCAGAAATTATAACTGTTCGAAGCACAAGTTTAAGTATGGGTCTTACATTTTTTAAGAACAACAGCTTTAAGTAATGCTTTTTAATGTATGTAGATTCAGTTGCATTATTCTCCTGATACCAGATTGTACTAATTTCACTTTTAGCTTCACATAAGGATTAAAGGAACAATATGTAAAAATCTGGCCAAAAGTGGTACTGCAGTCACAGTCAATATTTTGTAGTCCTCTCCCACTCTCACTGACTCAGGTTGCCAGATACACACCAAATCCAGCAGCAAACACAGGGAATTATTTTATCAGTTGTTTGTCTGTCTCCATTCACATTGCCATGAGGCATGCTAATGTTGAATAATTGTTTACTTTTTTATTTTTATTTGAACATTTGAGATAAAAAAACACAAAACAAAATAAAAGCAATGTAATTATAGATTATCCAAAATAAATAAGCAATTGATGTCCAAAATAGGAGTGGGAAGAATGAATGTTATATTTCTTCAGCGTATCAACATCAGGGTTTGGTCCAGACAATATCACCTTTCAATTTTATTTATTCCCTATTTTTTAGACAAACATGTATAAGTCCCACATCAAAAAGAGACTAACATTATTATAATTGGGGTACATGTGGTCTTAAATGATTATTTTTACAATTAAGCTATAATCTGCGTTTTTAGAGCAATCTGTCATAGAATGTGAAAACATGCAATTAAATACAAAAAGACCCCTGCCCGGAATCGAACCCGGGTTACTGCATCATGAGCACTTAGTCTAAACCACTAAACCACCACTTCGCACAATAAACACTACTCTGAAGAACGGATTGAAAGCAGCAAATTTTGCATCACACGAACTATTATCAGGGGTCTCAATTGTTGTCAAAACAAGACCTTTTTTAAATCTGCGGCCACATGTTATTTTACCACTGAGATTAGTAAGCCGCGCGGAGTTCTGGCAACCCGATCACGGAGTTACATGACGCTTCCTGATTAGCGAAATGGCGGAGGGTAGTCAAAATCAAAACAATAAAAACTTTTACGGGTCGTAAAACTAATTTTGATATTGAAATATCTCGGCTGAACTACTGTTATCAGTTAAAGATGTATACGAAAAGAGCATGATTTAATAACGCCTTTGGAAATATGGGCGCCATTTAATGATGACTTGACATGCAAATATTACATACTGCTACTTTAAATTGCGTCCTCTGAAAGTTGTGATTAAAGCTTTTGAAAGTGCTGGTTATTTCTACTCTTGAACAGTTCTTATATAGTATATATTTTTTGTTTTTTTGTTTTTTTCTCTTAATAACAATAGAACTCAATGGCTGTGTTTTAGGTTTGTCCGTGACAGAATCACATGGGAGGTCCATAGGCAGTTCCTCTGGGGCCCAGCTTTGCTTATAACACCGGTCATGGACAAGGTGTGCACTCTTGGGATAATAGTTTTTTATTTTTATTGAAATGTGTTCTTAACTGGTTTTGTGATGAACAGGGTGCACGAGAAGTGAAGGGATATGTGCCTTATGACCGCTGGTACGACTATCACACAGTAAGTGAGCCGCATCCACTAATTATGTTAAAACATGAGGGGAGATTGGCGACACAGACGGTGGGATATTCATGTGAAAAATGGACTAGCAAAAAATAACTGAAAAAGAGAAAAGAAAGTATTTTTTACAAGGGTTTTGAAGTTCAAAGTTAGGGCAAGCATGTTTATTGGACTGTCACAATATGAATACAGTACGTTCACTCACCGTTCATTAACTGATGGATTGAACAATCTACTTTGAGACCTCAATTTTTATCATTTGTACGTAGAATGTGTGTTTTAGCTCACAACTTGCGACCCCCACCAATGTATGAAGTGATCGTTTGGGTCTGAACGTGCCAGATCCATTCTTTAGTTCCTATATTCTGGTTGTTTGTACATGTTTTGTCAAAGAAAAATATCAGATTTCAAAAGCTGATGTTAGGATCCAATGTTTGATCTTGGACCTCTGTCACAGGTTACATGGATTTGTCAACTTTGTTTTTAGGGGACAAAATATAAAGACGTAATGATGATCTCATTTTTTATTTAATTGTTTTTGTGTATATGCCTAAATCACAACAGCAGTCATCTCGAAGGATTTTACAAAGTTGTCAGCTCGCCAACACAGATCAGAGAATCGAACAGCTCAAACATAGGAAAAGCAATAACACAAACACATAGTAGCCATAAATGTGAATATATAAATGTTTTACACATAATATTTATTAACTTAAATGTGCCGGATCAACACCACTTTCCTTAGATCCTCCTGCATTGGCAAGAAAAAACAAATGATGATTTTATTACTGTTTCAAGCTTAGGTTATTTCTGTTCTTATTATTTTTTTTAAGAGTAATCCTTGTGATAAGTCCTGATAAATATGACTTCACCAACATCACAATGAACTCATGCGACATATTATCAGATTCAGATCAGATTCAGATTCATTTATTTGCCATTTGCAGTAAAACCACATTGGAAAAACTGTGCAAGACTACCCCGGTGTGCACCAGACAGAGAAGACGACACACACCAGAGCTCTTGCCACGGCGCCATCTTTACGGCGCCATGCGACAAACAGTAGAATAAACAGCAGAGAGCAATAACATACAGTTTATTATGTTATTATGTGATCATACAAGAATATAGAACTCAGATGAATCGACAGGATTCCCAAGTTGCTCATTACATTCATGGCAAATCATGGTGAATTAAAATGATTTCATTTCTTGTTACCAAAAGCTTTACTGGGAATGGTTTTATTGTACTTGTGTCAGGGATATGAAGTAGTTTGAGTGTTATTGTTTCTCTCATTAATCTTCTGAAGCAACATATCAAAACTTAACTAGTTATTGTGACAGAACTGTGGCAGTTTCTATGGGAACAGGTTTTAAGAAAAGCTTTCTCAAGACACTGAACACACTTTTAAATTTAATTAAATTTATTTTTGTTCAGCCCGAAATCACAGTAGTTCACAGAGTAGTTTACTCTGAGAACTTTACAAAACTTTTGATTAGCCAATACAGATCACAAAATCAAACAGTGCAAACACAAAAAAGCAGTGATAAAGAAAAAACACAGAGCCATTGGTCCACGAGGGGCAGATAACCAATGTCCATAAATGTGGATAAAGTCCATAAATGTCGTTGAATATTGAATGTCCTGGATCATCACCACTGTCCTTGGACCCTCCTGCATCGGCAAGAAACACTCTCAAAAGCCAGTGGGAAAATGAAGAATGAACAAAACTCAGAATGCTAATAATAGGCCATTTTGTGCTTTATAGTATTAGAGCATAGAACACTGAAAGACAAAGTTTATAAAATAGAAAATTGGTAGACTATCCAGATGTGCTAGAGATTAAAAAAAATAAAAAAATAAGACATGTGTTCAAAATCATGTTATTGCAAAATTGAGGCATGCTGTGGATACGCAAATCTGTAAGTGAATGTAAAAACAGGAGCATTGGTCTTACAGCAAATTATGTTGCATTTCTCAGCCAACAATACTCATTTTAAAACTAGCATTAGGAGGTAGACAGCCCTGGTACAGCCTGACAGCATAAAACAAACCAGCCGTAGCCTGGACAGGATTCTCACAGCTGTTCTTATTTTATAAAGCTAATATAAGGAAGTAAAAGCGTTGGCAGAGCAACCACACTGTATAAGCAGACATGACGGTAATGCATTGTACAAGGGTTTTATGAAGCAAGGCTGCGTATAAAAAGTATATAATTGCTTTTTTTATTAGGCCAGAGACGTGGGAGTACGTGGACAGTGGGTCGTCATGCCAACACCACTTGACCACATTAACCTTCATGTCAGAGGAGGGTATATCTTACCGTGTCAGAAACCAGAGAGGAACACACACATCAGGTAAGTGTGGACAGAATAGAGAATTCTACCCATGACAAACCACAAGATATGTGTATGTCCAGGAGCTAAGGAAGAAATATGACAAGAGGCAAGTAAACATATGAAGCAAGGAAATTATAATAAATATGCTCTGGGTCTTTAAACATCAAACTGTTTAGTTTAGCCTGGAAGCTACAGCTCACAAAAACTAAAACAGACTTGAAACCTCTTCTCAAAAAGTTGAAGGGCATGTTTTATGCTTGACTTTATCTGGATCACGGTAAACAATGCTTCAGAAATCTGTTTCAAAAGATGTAAACTGATTGTCCCTCGGGTTTAATTAAAGCATTATTGCCCTCATATTTGCAAACCATAACTGGCGCAGTCAAAGTGAACTACGCAGAACAATGCATCGATTGCTAAATTAGTTGAGAACCACTTTGATAACTGAGGAACTTGTTACAGCCCTCGTAATAACCCTACTTTGCTTGCATTCCTCCGCTTGCAGTCGCAAAAATCCATTGGGGCTAATCGTGGCCCTGAGCGACTCCAACACTGCCCAAGGATCCTTCTTCTGGGATGACGGAGATGGCATAGGTGAGTCTGGGTTATGTTACGCTCACTGTGTACAATACAAGCCAAAACAGAAACCTTTCTAAAAAGGATGCTGCTAAAAGTAACAAATTGGAACAAATATTAGTTATATAAAAAAATTAAAAAAACACAATGATCAGACGCAAGTTCTTCTCATTGTATAGATAAGATACTAAGTTAAATTGGGTTTGTATTTGAAAATAAATGTAACAATTTAAAATAGATTTTTTTATTGAATATAGAAATGTAAGAGTGGGCAGGCAACATTTGGTTAACCCCAGTAACACAGGTCCACTGGCAAATAATGGGGATTGGAATTTGCACGGAACCCACAGTTTGAGTCATTCAACTACATGCCAAAGATGTTTCCAATTTCTTTTCCAATGTGTGACATTGAATTTGACATGTTGAATTTAAGAAGTCACCTTTAAATCAGATTTAGCACCAGAATGCTTCGTTGGCCCTTGAAAATATAAATGGATTCAGTTACATTTGTACAAAATGCCACATAATGTTATTGTAAAGATTGTAGATTTTTACATTGTGACACAGCAGTCTATCAGTCCTTTGACAAAACTCATCTCTCTGAACAATCAACATTCTGAACATTTAGCCTAACAAACGTTTGTGATGCATTTATAAATCCTATTATCATTAAGCCAGTACACATGTTGGATTTTACTACTACGACCAACTACCAACAGCCAGACATAAACCAGAAAATATATTTTAACACAAAACATTACCAAGAGTTTACTCAGCAATGGTTGTAATTATTCGGTTAAATTTATTGTGTTTTAAGATTTGTCAAAAATCTGTTTTTTTAAGAGCACAATACTCACTATTGGCAAATCTTGTTGTTTTTCAAAATATCTAGTCACTTCTTTTTGCAATGAGCATGGGTTGAGGGTTGGATTGGATTGTTCCGAGGGCCTGAGCTCTAGCTGAATCGGCCTGCCCTAAATCATAACTTTGACGCTGTGTGCATGTGTTGGGACAGACAGAGGAGAACCAAGGCCGGTGGAAAAGTGACAGAAACTATTACAGTAATTCTCTGTGTAGCTGTCCGCAGACGGCCCTCCATCACTCCTCCTTTATCTGCTCCCGTCTTCTGCATATAGCCTAACCTTTACACGTTTTTCTTGTTTGCTCTGCCTCTCCGCAGTGCTATTTTGTACTGATATGAGCCATTTGTACGTTGGCTATTACAACGCTCTGGAGGCTGTCACTCATTCATTTGTCAGTCAAATTCAGTGTCTAATGCAGCAGGTTAGAGAAAGCTGTGAGAGGAAATTGACTTCACTCCACAGTCTGGTTGAAAGAAGATGCATAACACTTAGATATATTTTAGATCAAGAGCACTTGTACTTATACTATTTCCATTCCTACATATCCACTCGTAATTTTTGTGATTCACTCCCATTTGTCCATGTTTTTAGCACCACCTACTTTCTGGCCTTGTTGTCATTGCTAATTAAGAAAATGTTCATCTGGCATACACATACAATTTGACCTTATTCAACAGACATTTTGGCACAACTGAAAAACATAGCCTCTCCGCAATATGATCCGCTGCAATGTCATCTCTGCAATGTTCAATACACATACAATACACAAGCCGTTTAAAAGAAGTTAAAGTACTGCCTATAAACTATTTTGACATTTTGCTGGTAATTTTCAAATTTGGGAAAAGATAAACATTCTATACCTCCCTCTTAGTGGGTAGCAAAGGGATAGGGCAGTCCAAGAAGCATTGTTTACTTATTTCACTATAGATTACCTACTGAAGATATTAATCCACATTATAAAACACAAAAAGTCACATTATCATTTTAGATTGATCCTTTGTTCCTTCGACTGTAAGACTGCATAACTAATCTGAGCTAAACATGTGCATGTTATTAATATTAAAATGCACATAATATAATATTACTATTGTTAGTAACTTTAACTTTGGAATTATATATTTATTGATGGTTGTATGGATAGATGTGCTTCGGCTGCTGGATTAAGTATCTATCTTTCATTTTCAAATGATTTCCAACTAGTATATAACTGCTTGTTTTGTAATTTGAACAACCCTGTGCCGTAGATCTAAAACACCCTTCTCTTTTGTATTCACAGGAACGGCTGAGAGAAAGGAGTACCTGCACACGTCGTTCTCGGTGCAATCGGTGAGTTCAGAGGCCTCCACACGTGCGGCCTGCTTCTCCCCGTCTAAATCGTTAGCGCCTTTAGCACAGTTATTGTTGCTGCACTGCGGTCCAGACCAGTGGGTGGATGTCAAAAGGCTAACCACTGGAAAGCATTAGCACATCATTACGCATGCTCGACTTTGCGGAGGTGATCTGAGGCCAAATTTCTGCCACGTTGAGCCAGAACAGTAGAATGCATGGAGCGTGTGTGGGATTTTGGAAAGGGAAAACACTTTCTATGTAACACAAGTTGTATTCTCTCATGGGGCTGATTAAAATTTAGACTTCAAGGCTGTTAAACAGTTGGTGCAATGTTTCATTTCATTTTAAGAAGAAAGTACAGCATTATCAGGCTTTGATTCTGACAAATGTGATAAAGTGGCAGCATAATGTTCCGAGCTTGTGTGTATGATCTAGAATTTCGAAAGGAGGAAAGGGGTTGATGCAACTTAATGGGAAAGAAGCAATTTTTTCATTATTCTTTACATTAGGTTTTATTTGATATTTGTAATCTCTTTAACACCTTGATGATTTGATGAACACAGGCGGCAAAAAAATCCTTTTCTGTATTCTGTACAGCTAAAAAAAAAACAACAGTTTTGGCCTTGGAGTAGGCCAAACAGAAATATATGGAGCCAAATTGATGGTACAATTTTCAAATTGGTACTGCAATGGCCCAATCTCAGGTCCATTCCCAAACAGCCTTGGCAAATGTTTTTCTGGAGGTCTATACTATCAGGAACAAAAGTAGCTGTTATAAATGGTGGATACATCTGGGCATTTTCAAACTGGTCCAGGGTTTTCTCAATCAGGGGTTGAGAAGAGTAGAGTAGGGTCCAGTAAGGCTGGTGCATATGAGATGGAAAAGATGGATATAAAAGAGCTCAAATACCACTAATACATGAAATAGCTTCCACTTTTCAATTCTCCAATCTTTTATTTTTTGTTGGCACCCGACCAGAAAAGTCAAGTGAACAGTCAGAATTGCTGTTGAAAAGCATAGTACTCCAGCTGTACATTCCGAGACAGAGCTTTTGAACCTCTTTGCATGAATGAAGCAAAAACGGAGAATGTAACAGATGTGTTCATAGATCGCTCAAAGTAGGAGAGGAACCTGTACGGTAGTCAGTCGGAGCATGCCGCCACAAAAAAAAGATTGTATTCAAAATTCAATGTTTTCAGAATGTATTTCTATAGACTCTATAGGGGAAACCCATTAGATTTTAACATTTTGCAAAGAGTAGGAAAAGAATACAAGGCTAAGAAAAAAATAATTCAATAACCAAGTTAAAGATAGAAAATAGGGGATATTAAATATTTTAGTCAAATTAAAGGTATGGAGGATGTTCCCCAAAGATAAGAAAGAACTGCCTACTCCAGAAGGAACAACTTCTAAAACGTATCACCAGAATGACTGATGATTAGGAGGACCAATAGTCTAGAGATGAAGAAAATCATTCTTTACACCCAACAACTAAATATAATTGAATGAAGTATTATTTTTTTCACCCTAATTCAAGTAAAATTCAATGGGACAAGCATGTCCGACGCTGTAGCAATGTAATATGTTTCTACTTTGGAGTGCTGTGGATGGACTTACATATTATTATTTTTTTAGGATAAAAAATATATATTTTTCTATTTAATAACCACATTAAGGCTATTTGTGCAAATTATCAGTGTTGTTGATTTTTTTTTTTTATGTCCTGGAAAAGACAAAGACTTTTTTGGTTTATTTTTTTTGTAGCAAGGCAACCAAAACATGACTGTTCTTTAAGTTCAATAAGATCCAATACTTATCCTGTACCCAGTTTGATCAGAGTTTGGTATCAGACGTGACACATAATCACTAGGACTAATGGGACTAAAGCAGCCCCACTTTCTCTGCAGCCAGACAAACAATTCTCTAGCTGTCTGTCTCTCCAGCTTCTAATACACACACACACACACACACACACACACACACACACACACACACACACACACACACACACACACGCGCACACACACATATATGCCCATACATGTGTGATCCAAGCCACATTCACGTTCAACAGAGCCAAACCACAGCCAAACATCTGTGGCCGTCCTCTGCCTACCATCAGACTCATTCCAAAGCAATTTCACACAGCGATAAAACAGCCCCACTGTCTGACAGCCAAGGGGTACAGAGGGAAAAATGCATCTGTGTGTGTGTGGGTGTGGGTGTGTGTGTGTGCTCGCAAACAAGCAGATGTGAGGAGATGAGGATAACTGGAGCAATGGGGCCAATGCTGCCTGGAAGATTAGCACATCATATGCCATTTTGGAGAGGTGAGCCTTTTCCTATGGGGCTGTGCATGTAATAGATTGCTCTGGTTCAGTTGATAAGTTTTGAAAATTGGAGGTGGTTTCCTTCAGTCCACGCAGAGATCCCAAATCACCACAACGCGCTGCCAAAAGTGTCGCCTGTGCACAGCGAAAAGTAACGTCTGTGAAGGTGTAAATTGCTTGCAAGTCAGGGGCAGTTAGATTGAAAGATAAGATACAATGTGTTTTACAATACATGGTACAAGAACACTGGGAATATATGCAATCAAAAGAAGGATACATATCATTGTTATACTGTCAATATGTAGAATGTTATTTATTTACAGAGCTTTACTTAACCCGGAAATTCCCACTGAGATTTCAGAATCTCTTTTTTCATAGTAAAAAGAGATCTTGCCCCTGCAGCTATTTTACAGCGGTAGAGGAACCCGAACCACCCACAGGAAACCTACGCAGACACAGGGAGAACATGCATACTCTTTGGATTTGGATTATTAGCAAAAACAAATGTATATGGACCCAGACTGATTCAGATCACCTCCAGAACCAGTTGTTCACTGGTCCATTGAGGATGTTTCCCGAAAATGTCGCCCAAATCATCTCATACATTTTTAAGTGGCATTTTTCACAGACTCACAAATCACTTTACCTCCTGGGACGAGGTAATTAGTCGCATATGGACAGATAAAAGAGTAACCAATCAATCTAGTAAAGGAGTAACCCTACAGTATAAAATATTTCTATTTTTTTGTATAGCTCTAAATTAGAATAGCAGTTGTGATTTCCTCTTGACTTTGCATAACACTACAGACTGTAGATTCACTAAGAACAGATCAGAGAATCAGTTCGAACATATGAAATATAATTAAAAGAAAAAACACATAGGAATTATCTGACTCATAAATCCTCTTCTCAGCCTTATTACTTACTTTAATCCATCCATGCATTTTATTCCGTTTAATCCATTTCTGGAAAGGGGGGGTGGCAGTAAGAGTTGCACACCAGTACACATAGCACCAGCCCCTTCCTGATCCCCCTGCAGGTGGTGAGTCCACAGGGGCCTTGATCTTCCAACGGGGGCATTAGGCAAAGTGGGGTAAAGTGTCTTTAGTCGTGAAGTAAGTATAGTGGTGGGCTCGAACCCTCGACCTTCAGGCCCGAAGGCCAATGCTCCACCAACTCAGCCCCTGTCGGCCATACTTATCTTTCTGTGAGGTTGTAAATTCGTTGACAACAATTGAAGAAAAACCCAGCCCCACAAATCTGAAATCACATAATCCATCATATCCATGTTTCTTCAGAATTCTGATTCCCACTTGAGACATGCTCAGTAGCTTTTGCATATACAGGTATATTCCTTCTTTTCCTCATGTTTTAATGTCTTTGCAGAACACTCTGACCAACCACGTCCTTCACAACGGCCTGAAGGTTCCTGACCAACTGCGGATGGGAGAGCTGAAGATCTGGGGAGCGGGCAGTGTCAAGATCACCCAAGCAACGCTCACAGATGAATCCGGAATCTCAAGCCCACTAACCCCCCACCACAACCTGGTCACACAGGTGAGGTCCACAGCTATAAAGGCTAACTCATAAATGCAATTAAAGTTGGGGTCCCTGGTTCAGACCACTGTGAAAGGAGCACTGTTGTTTAAGTTGCATATACCCAACATGGGAAGGAGGGATTATATTTTGAGTTTGAGCTGGATCTGTCACATGTCAAATAAGAATAACCCAAAAAGCAGGACGGCTAAAAATAAGTTATTAAATAAAAGTAAATAGACAAACAAAATGTAGAGCAAATAATACAATACTGAACCAAACTGGGGTGAAGATATGAACAAAAGAAATGACGGAACAGGGAATGGAGGACTTCAAGGGTTTGAACAAGAATGACTAAGAAGAGGTGTACACAGTGAAAATAAATTACAAAATAAAACAGGACATAAACCTTTACCATAAAAGGAGACAAATAATATGGATTGGCCTGCACATGTTACTGTACATATGCAATGATTAAAACCTTCCATAGGGTGACCAGGCCTGGGTCTGGTCCACAGTCTGGCGATACAATACATTTCCCGATACATTTTCTAGATAAAGAGCCAAAAGCCTAAACACTACACTAGACGTTTGGCTCCTTATCTAACGCTCTGCCACATTTATAGTGATGCCTGTATATTTAATTTATTGAAGATGAATTATTCAAAATCAAAATTGAAAAACATTTCAAAAATATTATTACAAAAAATAATTAATATTGAACTGAATTTATAAAAATATTCTAATTTACTTTAAACTGTTTGTTGTAGCGCATCCCAATTAAACAATCCAGGAAAAGGCGTATCACCAGACTTCAAACCTCATTTATGAAATGAGTTTTTTCTTACGCAAAATGGTTCAACGCCCACTCATCAACCAACCATCTGTGTTCTCCAGCTCCATCAGACAATTTTGGTTTAAATTTTTTAAGTACCAGCCGCATATCTGCAGGAATTCAGATACACCAGTCAAGAGAATGCAGAAAGCAGGATGAAATAGCAAAATAAATGCATTAAAAACATATTCCATCCTTCATAAGATAAATGCAACATGACTTTGTGGGAGTAGAGCGATTGAGAAATAAACAGCTCTAACTGAAACTGACCTGGATTCCCTCCTGGTTTGACTTTGCCTTCTTTTTTCCAAATCACTGCATTTAACAGATTAATTTATGAAAAGATGTCACTTTCGTCTGGCATTTATTCACATTTCCCAGGTTTCACGTTGATTGAGCATTGCGCGCGTGTCAGAAACTGTCAGCTCGACACAAAAATTCCCAGGTTCACAAGGCGGCCCCCCGCGGTGCCACAGTTTGAGGTCTAATAGCAGTAATCAAGGCCTCAGTCTATCTGACAGCCGACTCGGATAATGAACCACTCCTCTCTGCAGCCGGGACACGCATGTTTAAAGCGACGTGTGTAAAAAGAGGGATTTCATGTGCTTAAGGTAACAAGAGGAGAGGAGAGCAACGCCAGGACAAGCGATGGCCCTGTGTCAGGTTTTGTGGCCCGCTGCAGTAGTCTTTGAGATTATACCTCTCTGTAACGCCCTGAACCTCTGGAATCCAGTTGTTTACTTCACTTCTATTGACACACCTTGGTTTTTGATTGTGTCACAAAATTCCATATGGCACAAATTAAGCCGTGAGATGGCTAACGCTAGTAAACTTCAGTTCATGTGATTCAATATGGACTGACCAGGCTCATTCTAGGCAATGGGGGTGAAGTGTCTTGCCTAAGGACACAACGACCTGTTTGACACTTTCGAGCCGCAGCCGCCCCACTGTGGCATTTGTTCCCACAGTCAATGCTCTGCTTCTCTGTATAGGTCTGACTCCTTCCTGGAAAATTATGTCACATTTAAAATTGCCCCTGTCACAGTACATGGCCGCAATCACTTCAAAGTGCAGACAAAGCAGCAAATCACGGCAGTGAGTGGATTTTGGGTCAAGAGAATGCAGCACATTGAACTCCCCTGTTAGCCATGTCTTTACTTTACACAACAAACTGTCATCAAATACAATCAACAAATGGAGAACAAAAATGATAACTATAAAGTCTGTATTCTACGTATGTAAGTAGTTAACTATTTCTAACTTCAGAACACAACCAGATGCCCCACTGCTAAATTGTGCATCCTCTGCGTAGTATTGATAGATAGATAGACAGATTGATTGATTTCTATCTATCTATCTAACAAACATGTGTATGTGTGTACATACCTGGTCATTTATACAGTAGATCCAATTAAAGGTTTATTAGTTTGTTTGTTTTCTAATCTGCATGTATTCATAGAATCCATATTTTTCCGAGAATAGCAATGTTCTCGATCCATTTGGGCCTCGTTCTAACTTTAGGCATCTGTCTCCTTTTCCTCAACGTAACACATTCGTATCAGCGACAGCCAAAACACAACGCTCGGGCATCATCATAAATAATCATTGGCAAAACGCAGACACGGTTCAGATTGATACCACCATTAGCAAAGATGGACCGGATCTGCCAGGCGGCCTGAGATTCTCCATGAGGAAAGTCCAATTTGTGTAGGCGTGTGTGGATCCATCTGTGAGTGCGGAGGGCCGAGGGGAGATGGATCACGCCGAGCTTTGGAGAGATGCAGAAAAGGCACGAGCTTTTTCTCTCACAATCATCTGTCTGTATTGTCTGAAAGCATAACAACTGCGAGGGAAAGCGAGGCACCTGCAGTTTGAACAGACCTCCAATGCACTTTTTTTGTGGAGAGCAGTTAAGGAGTCCTGTATAATGTTGTGGTTTAAGACAAGGACTCCCAGAATTCTGATATTACTTTAACTCCCAAAGCAGTCATTTTGATGGCTTCCATTCAAATTAATGGAATTCTGAAAAATCCAAAACACCTTTATTAAAATCAAGCAATTTATATGGCTTTTAACTTCAACAAGTGGTAAAGCTGGTGAATATACAGAGTGTTGCTATTGTAACTAGCACTAGAGATTGCTCTGAACCAGTCAGGACCTTGAGAGAAGTTGCTTTAACTGCCATTGAATGTTTAGTGCCCAGTGACCAAAAATGGCTACATTTGTATTTTAGTACAAATTGAGCAGTCAAATTGCCTGCTCTTGGAGTTCCATTTTCAAGTTCACAATTTTGGTATACATGAGTGTGTTCACAGTAAAGTGTCAATAAAAGTATCTGGACTTTAAAAGGTTATAACTCAAAAACTAAAATTACTATCATAGATAGGGGAAAAAAAAAAAAAACATTTCAAACACAGACACATTGAAGAGACAGTGTAGATAATATCAAAAGGAAAGATTGACAAATATATTTTTGGCGACATTTTAAACAACCAGATCAGCCTCTGATTTGACCATTCTACTGTGACGCCAGTTACATAGAAAATAAAATGTCCTCAGTCTGAAAAAACGGCAGGTGAAATCCCACAAGATTTACATGGTTAACACAACATAAGTAAATCACTTGATTTAAAAAGGGACCGTTAAAAAAAATTAAAAGACAAAATATTAAATGACCCTTGATAAATGTGTTATGGACGTGATGGTTTCAGTCCTCTTTTCTCTAACAATTAAACTTGAGAAAAAATGAAATCTGGTCTGGTTTCTCCTTTAATTGGTTTATTATATGAAAGTAACTTTGTTTCTACTTTGTGTAAAATAGATTCAGATTCATTTATTTGCCATTTGCAGTAAAACCACTTTGGAAAAACTGTGCAAGACTAGCCCAGTGTGCACCAGACGACACACACTAGAGTTCTTGCCACGGCGCCATCTTTACGGCGCCATTAAGAATCTCTTAATCAAATGTGGACATCTGAAAATGCGCAACAAACTTCTGCAAAGCTCATTCCGTCAAATCATCACGTCTGTTACATGAAATAAACAGGGCCGCTATAGGAAACTTGTCTAATGTATAAAACATTTTTTTTTGCCTTTTGTCATACTTTTGTGCCCGTTAGTGTGAACAAGCCTGACGCATTATTTATGGTCATCAAAAATTACAATGAAGCTTTATGTTCAAGATATCATTTCATTATGTGAAATGATATCTTGATGAGAAAACATGATCAAGCAAAGATGAAGGATAAAAAATGCTCCCTATGCTACCACCAGAAGGAAGTATTTTATTTTACAAATTGGAATATAACCGGCTGCAAACACAGACATGTTATTGTAGTGAATGTGCAAGAAATTCCCAAATTGTTAAATAGGCAATACTTTGGTTTTAAAAGGCAGAAAATTGTGTGTGATGTGATGGTTCTACAATGACACCACAGGATAGAGACAGAAGCTTTTAGACAGAAGGGGCGGAAGTTCCCGATTTTGGCGTTGATGGATTTTAATACAACTCTAAGTCTGTTTTTTTTTGGGCAATCAAAGTTGTTGCGTTGTTAAAAGCTCCAAAAACATATTTTACTTGACGTGTCTCCTTTTGCAGTGTTGCTGCTTTTTGTTGAATGATATGTGTATTTTGATGTGTCTTTGCAGGAGCTGATAATAGACGTCACTTCTAAAAATCAAGTCATGCATGAGAGCTTCACAATATCATGGAGATCATAGACCGGCAGTCAAGTTTACACAAGGTTTTTTCATCTGGAGTATGATTATGACCCGAATGTCTGTAATCTACAAATGTTGTGTATATAAGTAAATCATAATGATGTAAAGTTTCAAATAAATGTTTACAAAATAGAACTACCTGAGACATTACATCGGTTTTGTCTTTTTAAAGAGCATTTTGAAACTTTTTTTCCACGCCACGAAATGACTGCTTTAGGCTTATGAGATTATTTTATTAAAACTTAAACAGTGGTATAAGCCTTAAACATTAAGAAGACATAATGAACATTTTACATTTATTTTGGAACATGCCTCTACCAGCCATTCAAACACATACTACAATACAATAACAATAAAACCTTACAATACCCTAAAATACTCTCCAAAAAACATAATAATAATAATAAAAATGCATCAGTTTTATAAAGCACTTTTTTGGACACTCAAAGACGCTTTACATGTCATTATTCATTCACTCCATACACAGTGGTCATAAACTACTGTAGCCACAGCTGCCCTGGGGCACCCTGACAGAAGCGAGGCAAGCAGTATGTGTCTCCAACCACCATCAACCATTCACATACACACCAGACTCATTCTAGGCAATGGGGGTGAAGTGTCTTGCCTAAGGACACAACAGCAGTTTGGCACTTTACAGCCGCAGCCGCCCCACTGTGGCTGGTGTTCCCAGAGGTTAAGTGTCTTGCCAAGGACACAACAACAGCAGACAGTGGGAGTCAAAAGTCTTGAGGTGGGCTCGAACCCATGCACGACCTTCTGGCTTAAAGGCCAACGCTCTCCCAATTGAGCTACTATAGCCACATGATAGACTGTGACACAAAGGCCAGCGAGTAACACAAAGGCACATACATGTTTAATTCAGTTTATTACAAATACAAAATAAAAAAAACATGTAACTCATTTCATAATTAGTGACTTTGCATGTTTGTAAATTGGACTCCCTTGAAGCGACCTTTAAGTGGGACGAATGGTGGCAAGGCCTTTACATTGAATAATTCACATACACACTTTACCACCAATGCAAGAGACAAGACCAAGACACTGACGCTCTCATTCACACGACAAGGCCCAAAATACTCTCCATTCCTACCCCTCTCTCTGCCCCCTTTCTTCCCTTAAGATTGTCACATCTTAGAGAACTTATTTGCTTGAAAGTATACCCAACTAATTCACATCTTTTTGTTTCCAAATGGAGTTGGATGGAGCGGTTTCTAGCAGTCCCACATCAACAAGGCAACAATAGCACAATTCCCGTAATCACTTGTGTTCACTGCCATTATTTTTCTCCTTGCTCTATAATGGCCACGCGTCCAGGTGTGCCCACAACCACGCACTAATTATAGCTCTCACCTGCGGCAAGCTGTCTACCTGCGCTTCCTCTGCTCACATTACCTCCCAAATAATGATACAGCCATCCATTATTCAGCCGCCAGTAAATGTAATCATATCAATTTGGGCATGGATATCTCAAATTGATTTCCATTTCCATTTGCAACTCTCGAGGAGGGGAGATAGGCGTGTGTTTGTGCCCAAAAAAGAAAGGGGGTTGTGGAGATTTGTGCCAAGAAGAATGGGATTTGGAAAATAAATATGCTCGGTTCTAAACTTGGAAACACAAAAGAAGGCATCGGGTAAAGCAGCGCTGTTTTTGGAAAGAAGAGGATAAAGGTCTTCAGAAAAAGTCAAGACATACGGAATGGTGTTTACAAAGTTCAGAATGGGTTGCGTTCATGTTTTACTTTTGAATGCGCTGGAAACGGCAGCAAGTCCTAAGTAGCTCTGAAACAATTGTATTTATCTTGCCTGTGGTGGCTTGTGGTTATGGTTTTACACGGATCCAGACCAGAGCAGAGAGATTTTGCGGCGTACTGTAAATCTAGTGGAGGAATGCACATTATTTGAAAGAAGAATTTTACTCTGGACCAGAGCTGAGAAAATGGTCCGAATCAAGCGGTTACACCACCTCTGCTGCTGTGACCTAAAGTGCTGTTGCATTTCATTATTATAGCTACTTATAGAATTATGTAATTATGTGTTCTGTTTGTATGTATGCCTGCCTGTGAGCCCAGTTCTCCTGTCTTCCATTCTGAATTTGTGCTTCAGCTTCATTGTACGGCCTATGTCCAGAAGAAAGAGCTGTAAAAGAGCTGTGTCTGGGATGAGTATGTTCCCTGAAAATGTGCCTGGCTTTATTCTCCAAACGGCTCCTGTGAATGTCCCCGGGGGCAGGTTGGTTGTGGTAGCCAAGAACATGGGTCCAAGGACAGACTGTGCACCGAGGACCAGTTGGTGATTTTTACTGTATATTGTAAAAATCTACACTTATTAGCCTTCTCAAGATTCACCAAGTTATTTGCCATTTGCAGTAAAACCACATTGGAAAAACTGTGCAAGACTACCACCCCAGTGTGCACCAGACAGAGAAGATAGTACACATCAGAGCTCTTGCCACGGCGCCATTATTCTGCCGCCATGTGTCTTTGTTGCATGCTATCTTCTTTGAAAATATGAAAACCTGCACATTTTTGGGTTGTTTTAGTTTAAGGGCACACTGTTTTATCATCTGTTTGATTTTGAAAAAGATCAGATCACATTTGGTGGTGATTTCATGCAGAAATGTGAGAGAGTCCAAAATCTCCAGTCCACTTTACATACAGTATATCCTTTACTTGTTTTCTTTTACCATTTCAGGCTTTATATAAACAATAGGGAACGTGAGCTTGTAAGTGGTGCAGTCACAGAGAGTCTTTGTTGCCCAGTCTGGGATGGACCAGCAGATGAAAGGAGGGCAGTGTTCGGACCACATCAAACAGGCACTGCTCTAGAGATATCAAGAGGCCAGGGCATGTGGGTGCACTTTGTGAGTACATGGCTGAAACAAATACCTATTGAAAGTGACTTAGATTTACAAAAATACTTGCGATGCAATCTATCAAGATCTAAAGCAGCGCTCTTAAACCAGTTTTGTTCTATCACTATATGTCACATACATTTGGGGGGGGCCTCTGTCAGCTTTTTTAAATTGGAAGAAAGGACCACCCTCCCTGAGCCAATCAGCCAATAAGTATATAATAATGAGATGGTAAATACAGATCACGTTGTATTGGGTTAAATGTGTTGCCATTAGTTTAATATGTTTTTATTTTGTGAAAACGTTTTGACAATGCAAGAACTATTAAATAATGTCCACAGACTCTCTTGTCTTTCCTCTGCTCTGTCAGTTCTCTGCTCTCCTTCATGACCACAATATGTTCCTTGATGCACACTAATGTTTTCAAGTAAACATTTAAACAAAAAAAATGTCATCAATACATCAAGTACCACTTACATTACGCAAGCAAAACTCAGGTCTATTGTTTGTTTAGAGGTGTTTCAAAAATATCATGATTTAAATGTTGTGTGTGTAGTTGCAAGGCAAATACAAATATATACAATAAAGTTATAGCATGACAAAAAAGATGGAATTCAATTCATTAAATTAAATAATTAAATGAGGAATGAAAATATAGAAAAAAAAATACATTAATACAAATAAATATTTATACATTTGCTGCAGTCCATCTTTAACAATAATTCTTTCAATGTGTACATGTTTAATAAAGGGACAGGCAACATAAGATCTTTTTTCTTCTTACTGCTCCTTTTCATTTAAGTGACAGGGCTATAATTATTGTAAAATGTGGTGTCCATAATTTAAATAGATAAATTAATACATACATTATTTTATAAAACATAATTTATACAGTGAAACCTAAAGCGCTTCACAAGAACAATGCATTTCAATGGGAAGAATAGAACATACAAGACGGTCTAGAACTAACTATTTTTGTTCTTATAAATAATCCAAGTTGTTTGTCCGAACAGAAAGAGTGTTGGAAAAGTAAAAGGGTGTGAACAATTCAGACCACAACAATGACGTCGGTGTTTTATTAGAAAACAATGTACGAAAGAGCCCCATGAATCACTATTTGTTGTTTTGGGCTGAGAACTGTGTCAGTGAGGTCCTCTCTTTTTCACTTCTCTGTCTGAAACATCTGGGAAAAACAATACATGCATGTGAAAGAACTGTGAAAGAACTGTTTTCACATGCATGTAGAGGGCGTTTGACGGATTGTGTTACACATTATTATTGTGTGAACTGCTTCGGGACTATGGATGTAAATTAGCAGTTTTGCTATAATCTGACACATTTACAATTTGTATATGATTGATCATTATTGTGTGTTGTCCATTAATGTGTGTTGTCCAATCAAATAAATAAATAAAGTGGTTTGAAATCCTCAGCTTTAAGCCTTATTAACAGGTTTTTTTTGGTCGCTTTGGTGCAGTTATAGCAAAACAGTGTGTTTCTCAGAACAATTAGCAAAAGGGCGTCACATGCTCAAAATGAATAGTTGATTCCTCAAAGCAAGTATTCATGTCAATGAAACTGTCTGTGTCTAAGAATAATAAGTCCTGACACCAGTGTTTATGAACAACAGTCAAATGGATTAGTCAGGTTTTCATTGTGACACTTTACTCGCTCTGTGTTTTCATTGCAAGACGCTCAAGACAGCTGCAGTATGTATAAACACAGGACACACACGGTATAGCTACACATTTCACATTTTAGTGAGGTAAATGAGTACAAGACACATGTACAGTATGTATGTAAAACACATATTTCAGTTTTTTTCAGTCGCTTTGGTGCATTTTTCAGATCAGACTTAAAGTTCTCAAAACTATTAGTTCAACCTCCACAACATTGAGTCATTGGTGCATATCATCACAGCAGTTTCTCATTACAGATTACAACTTCTTTGGACATGTATCAGTTACTTTCATACAATTAACATTTGCTTCCGTTCTGTCAGTCAGAATGAAACATTACTTATAACGGCTGAATAGTCATTCCCTATAAACCAGGGGTGCCCAAACCTTTTGCTTCCAAGGGCCAAAGTAAAACTTTGCCAGTCGGCCGCGGGCCAAATACACCGATA